AGTTAACTTTCAAAAAAAAAAAAAAAAGAAGCAACTCCTCCAAGCAAGCTGGAATCCATGAACATTTTGGCATTTTTTTTTTTACTACAAAACAATACCTTGAAACTTGCCGTGTAATCTTTGTCAACTCAATCAATGCATTGTTTCAAATCTTTGCACTGTTTGCAAAGACTCATTTTGGGCTTTGGCCAGCGTTTTACAGTAAAGATCGATAAGTAATGTTAGACAATAAACCCCCCCCCATCACCATACGATCAACAGGACTTGATTAAGACGACAACATGTCCCTCAAAATGAATGAAATATCAGGCGTTAGGGTTGTTCCCGATACCAATACTGGAAAGGCCTCTGACACAGCCTAAAATGCTGGATTAGGGATCAGTGACTACTATGCACCAATCTGATATCACATTATATCATTTACAATGCACAGGAACACCACCACCTGTCACAAAAATCTGTACATCCTGCCCGATCAGTACTGCACTCCTGTGGTTAAACACTACTTACAGCCAACATTATGGAGGTAGCATCGAGTTACATTATGATGCGTTCAAGCACTATTCAGTCAAATGTTAAATATCCTGATTTGTTTTGGTGATAGACATACATATACTCTAACCCAAAGACGTGACGAGGAGGCAAGAAAGTGATAGAGACATGAAAAGCACCCACTACATGACCCACAAAACAACCTGAAATTGAGGAAAAAAAAAAGGTTCAACGAAGAAACTCTAAATATGTCATCAGCAACCTGTTGCAGCCAACACCCTGGTGCTGCTCCTGTTGCCATGACAACAGCAGTCCCCCCCCTCCTGGGGGGGAGGGGGGTCTTGCCACAAACACCTGAAGCGAGCCTTGTTTCATCTTAAAAGACGATTTTCAGCACCTTTCACCATAGAAATAATACTGGATCACACAGCAATGTGTGTTGAGCAACAGCAGGCAACATTTCAATTGTTGTGCGATTGAAGTGTCTTGCGTACTGCTCGTGCACACCGAGCATAATAATCTCCCGAGTGATTTCTTTCATCGTTAAAAAAAAAAAAACAGAAATCAAAAGGTCTGCTTGACTTACCCTCCTTATCGCCTTCACAAGCAACCTCAGCCAGGTAGCGGAAGTAGTCTCCTTTCATCTTCAGGTAGAAGACTTTGCTGTCGTGATTCGCAGCTTTGGGGATTAGATGTTTGTCGAGCAGGTCCTGCAAGTGATGGTATACTATGTTAGTGTAGAAAAGTGTGGAACTCAACACACAAGCAGTAACACATCAGTTCGTAACCTTTACAACAGTATTTGGAGAAAAGTGTTAAAAAAGGTGCAAGCTGAACCTTTTGGAAAAAAATAGTCAGCAAAGTGTCTGCTTCTTACCAGCACTTCTTTGCAGATGTCTCTCAGCTCCGACTCGATCTTCTCTTTGTACGCCTTGGCCAGCGCAGACTTCCCGCAGTCTTCAGACTTGTGCTGCATGCTGGACACCACCCTCCACGAGGACCTCCTGGCCCCCACCACGTTCTTGTAGGCCACAGAGAGCAGGTTGCGGTCCTCGTTGGAAAGCACCGCGTCCCCCTCTGTGACGGCCTTCATGGCTGCGGCCATGTCATCATAGCGCTCGGCCTGCTCGGCCAGCCTGGCTTTCTGTATCTGCTCTTCCTTGGCTGTCATGGCTCCTGTGTGGGTTGAGGGAGGAAGGAAGGACAGGAGAAGGAGAAGGAGGGGGGGACAAAACAAGAGGAGACGGATTAGGAAGACAGAGGAGAGAGTGTTGGGGGAGGGCAGGAACAGGGAGAGAAAGAGGGGAGCAACATGGTGGGTAAGGGGGAGGGATTTAATAGTTTAACTTGAATGAAGGACGACAGAGCCCGTACACATCGTCCTTCCTTGCGTAACTTGAGTTTCTAGTATGCATGTAAACATTTGTTTGAATGCACAAAAAACAGCAATTGGTCCACAGGAAGTAAATGCTTTGACTACCCTCTAGTTGGAGAATATTACATGTAAAAAAAAGTCCATGTCGCACAAAACATAATGCCCATTGGTCAGTGTCACATTATTCATCAAATGATTCACCGTTATCAGTGTTTCAGCCTCCAACAATGATTGCTTGGATGTATTTTCAATAGTAAGTGTCTCGGGTGTGTGCACAGCAGCTTTTTAGTTTTTGTATGTCAACCAGTTTGGCTCGTCTGCACTCAGTCTGGCGCACACACTCTGATTCATACTGGTGACTAAACTGACTTTGCATCCTAGTCATTAGAAAGACGACAGGAGAACGCAGCTATGTGAACTGAGGTTTCACAGGAAGAGACTTCCTCCAACATTATTCATTTCAAGATAGAAATTTGCAAAATAGCATGATGAATCAACACTTTGGTCATAGTAGGGCCACAATATTGAAAACAAAGTTCCATTAGGGTTGAAGCAAACAATCCTTTTCATTATATATCCTTTCAGGTTGCTTTATTTAGTTTTAAGTTGTCTAGATTACCGGTTTGGGCCGGGAAAAGTAAAAATACTGAATAAAAATCACAATTTAGAGAACGAATTCCATCTCAATTTCCTAGACATGCAATTTGAACTGACCTCTTTAAATTGCATGTTATTTTTCCAAGCAACAGGCCAAAACCCCAAAATATTCTGTTAACCATCCTGTATGACACAGAAAAGCAGGAAATGCTCACATTACTGGGGCTGAAACCAGTGCACGTTTAGCATGTCTGCTTTACTAATGAGCTCATCCAAACCCTTGCAGATATATTTACTGCCAATCAATTCATAAATGACTCACCTAATCATTTCAGATGTATGTTACATCATTTTAAAAAATAAGTTAGAGTTATCTCCTGGGTTAAATGCAGGATAGAAAGTATGATCATAAAGCAGCCATGTTCTGCTCAGACCCCTGACACACAATTCACTTGCTAGGCTACTTCTTAGCAAAGACATTTTACATCCTCCCTGTTCGTCTCAGGATGGCTGCAGTATTGTTGCAGTGCGTAAACTATACATTAATATATTATACATACGTATTAACTCACCAGCTGCTTGGACAAAACGCACAACCACCAAAACCTACGAGACCAGCGTTTCAAAAAAATAAAATAAAAAATCTCACGACGACTGAGTCAGATTTGCCAACAAGCAGACACCTGCACCCTTCAGAGGAATGTCGGCCACCCAGTTTCACGTCACACATGCGCACGCACACGCGCAAACACACACACACCTGCCCACCGAGCTCGCGCTGTGTGCGGCTAGGATACAGGCCTACCTATATGTGATTTGGCGTCAATATTTTCATTGCGCAACGTGATGAATGATTTACACCACTGCGGGTGGACAGATGAGAACTATAAAATGGTGAGCGCGGACTCAGTTTAAATGACGTTAAATGAGCCCAACGGTAGCTTGGTTCAGTCCAAAGTGAACGCCCTTTTTCCGCTTCCCGGAAAACGAGCCAGTGCTGTTGGTTTTTACGAGCATTAAGCATTCATTTTAGGTGGATTCATTTACAAAAAGCGGACGTGGTAACGTTACACCTGAACACTACCTTATAAACACAGACTGTAAAAGGGAAATAAACGGGATAAAGTGAAGCAACGCTTCCCATTCAGCACGATAAGCGCCGAACAATGACTGAGCTGCAGCGCATCACTGGTTCCCTCTCACCGCCCCAGTTGCACCGATACAAGCGGGATTTAAACGATTCCCCAACACCACGAGGAGCACATGTAACGGTTTAACATCGAAAATAGCCACCGACCATCACCCGGTAATCGTAAACTAACCTGTGAGTGTCGTTTAGACCGATGTTGCTCCTGATACCCCGGCAGCACAGCTGATGATCTCTCCCGCTCGTCCACGGGGTTTCCCTCCAATCAAAGAAACAGCAGCAGGGTCGCATCGGGACGGGTGACGTCAGACTCGGGTTGCTAGGGCAACACAATTCAGAGGCAAAATAAAAAGCCATGGTAACTGGACAGTTTTCTGCTAATTTTTTTGCTTTGTTTGTTTCCTCTAACGTTACGAGTAACTTGTTGGTATCTTAATTACAAATCTGAATCAAGTAAACACTACATGTTTACTTGTTATTCGGTTATTGTACGCATCTGAAATGCAAGGTTTTATTTATGGTTGTATTGTATATACCCGCAAAGACTCATGGGACATGTAGTTAATACATTCTATCTCGGGTACGACGAGAAGGAGTTCGAGTTTTCCTGTTTCAGGGTCTCAGAAAGAATCATGAAATAAGTCCTTCATAATATTAAGGTGAACGAATCCCCCCTTTTATTTGATCTGCCGAAGCGACAAGGCTTAGATATGCCATTATTTTGAATTCAGTTTCCCTATCAAGTCAAAATACATTTAAAATGACTATGTATTACCATTTGCCTTCACTGAGAGCTCCATACACACACACCATTGACATAGTAAAGTTATCATAGTGAGATAAGATTTGATATAATAAATGAGTATTGCTATGTTAAATGACATTTTGACCTATCATTAAGCTATTAAGGTATCAGGCTCTGACAGGTGACATCGTTTTAAACCCTGACTTCACAAACCTTTAACTTTCGTTGAAACATTACCTTGTCCATGCAGCCAAAGACACAAGTTAAACAGGTTTTAAAGGGAACCTACATTGTAACCACCATTCCTGTTTTTCTAGTTGTTGTAGTAGCCATTAATCAGTCCCTCTGGTATCACACTTGACTCATGTCTATTCACTTGTCTTACAAAGGGAAAATAAATACTATTTTCTAACCTTCTTTACACAGCATAGCCTACAGTTTTTTAGTGTGTGTATGGCTGTTTGTATGAATAACCATGTGTTTGTTTAATTCACAAGTTTACAGATGGAAAAGAAGGCGGTGGATTGTGTGTGTGGGGAGACAGATGAATAATGTGGGCTGTGACTCATTGAGTCAAGCCGCTTAAACAATTTTTAAAAAGCAGGCAGCATGGAAACTCAGAAAACAAAATCATTTTGTGGCCTTTTTAGAGACACTGAATAAAAGGCACGCTGGTAACACCAGTGAATGCAGAACTGTGGTCATTTCGTTGTCTGTATGGAAAGATAATAAATCTTGTCAGTCACTGAACTAAGCTAAACTGTCGCAGCTGGAGAAAAGGGACTTCAGGAAAAGAGTCAACATCATTTTCAGCTGGTCGAGTGACTTATGGTTCAGACAGGATTCATTGATTTAGTTATTTAGACACACACAGCGCTGCAGTTTGAGTCATTTCCTGTTGTCTGAAGTTTGGCTGATTTGGGGCTTTTTACAACAGCTGGTTTCAGGTTCTACATCTAACTTATTTGTTTTGTGACAATTTGAATATACATTTCAGATTTGGGATTGGTATTCTCATTTGCCTCAAAGTCTTGTTTTCCATGTGTAACCCTTTTTCCTGTTAAATTAAATAAATTTATGAAGTTTGAGTTGTATATTTCTCTTCCTTTTCCGAACTGTTTACATTAATATCACCTTGTGTTTTGTCTTAAATTGGTGAACGTAGCAATATTAATGCATTTAAAGTATATATGGACTGTACACATGTATCTTTAAACAGGAGCCTGAGTCAGAGCAGTTTCAATAAGTTAACACAGTATTGTCCAGTAACTCATTTATCAAACTATGAAGTATTGGAATTTGACAGTGTCTGTAGTCTACATAGCATTTTAAATCGTTTTTTTTAGCTTTAATCTGTCGAGGACACAACACAGGGGCAACCTGAGAATGACAAATGTAGGTTAAGATTTAAAAAATATATAGAATAGACATAAGAGACATGATTGTAAGCTCAAAATCTGATCCAGCAACAATGTGTTACGTCATTTAAAGGTTGAATTAGTGTATTTTAAACAGCATTAAGTAGCTTAATTACAGCTACTTCAACAAATGTAATATTGTTAAACAGTCACTGAAATGCTGTTAAAAGACTAAACAGCCTATTTCAAATAAACTATCCGTCAAACTACATTCTACAGCTGCACCACCATCCTGTTCACTTAAAAATGTAAAGAAATATATAGAAATATTTACATATAATCGTCAATCGGAATTATGTTCAATTTGTGACGGCTGACATCTGTGTGCATAGACTCAGTTGTATAAAAAATAACTTCAACTCGCAAAACGAGGGACATGCAGAGGTTTCATTTAAAGCTGAGCGTGACTTTACTCTTTGTAATATTTTAACGATGTTCAAAGAAATGACTTCAGATTTCCCTGAGTAACAAACTATTATCCAAAACACATTTCCCTCATCTCAGGGTTAACTAACTCAAGAGTTTTCTGAAACAGGGTCCGGCTGTTAAAACCTCAACGTGCAACAGATTTATATGTAAATGTATAGATTACTAACATGTCAATTACTGTCTGTGAGTCTTCCTTTTAGTCACAATATGAAGGCTCCAGATTGATTAAATGCAATCGTGTGTAAACAAAGATTGATCATTATTGCACATGACAGCTGGTGTCCTATAAAGAATTCACATTTACACAATGTGAGCAGAGCAGAAGAGAAATACAGTAAGAGCCACCGGGCCAACAGCATGAAGTGAATTTTAGTAAAACAAAACCCTCAGGCAGAAAAGTTGTCATTTTATGAAAAGAAACACCTTCTAGAGAAACGCAGATATACAGAAAGTAAAATTTACTAAAATGCTATAATACATCATTGAAGCATTCATTTTCCAAGTGTACATATGTTGCTGACACGCTCCCATTAAATCGGATTAACTTACAACTCATGTAGCAGCTTGGAAATGGGGAAAAACTTCACATTTTTGTGACCCAACATAAAGTTCTTATTAAATGAAAGATTGCAGTATTATATGGCAGACAGCACTGTGGAATAATTCCATATTAAACAACTAATATGAGAATATGATCCTTTTTTGATCCAATACTCAAAGTACACATTTGTTATATCATTCTCTTGATTGCAGAAAATATAAAAATCAGAATTCTCCCACCCAAGCGAAATCCATGCTTTGTTTAAGGAAGCCGTTTGCCTTTTACCTCATGTGTCATGTTAACCCATCAAAAGGCTCAGATATAGAGGTACGAGCATTAGCAGCAAGACACATCAGGGCAGCGAGGCATCTGTTCAGAGGAACTGTGTGAATGAAGAGAGAAACCTTCACCACTTGGATTGAATCGGTCTTCAGTGGCCCTGAAATTAAAACGGGTGTTTAAGTTTAGTTCTGCATGTAATTAAACACAAGCGAGAAGAGGACTGGATGGGAGGAAGCACCGCGTTAAAGGCAACCCAGCCCGTTTAAAGCCGAAATGAAGTTAACTGCTTCATGTTAATTACATAAAATCATCCTTTGCTGTCAGACTGAGACCAAGTGCAGAGTCGGTGCAGGGCCGTGAAGGAAATCCAGGGTGAGCGGTTATGCCTCCACTCCCTCTAACTCAGGGGGCATAGGGGATTTCGGGTGCTTGCTCTCGAAGTGTTGCTTGAAGGTTTTTGGGTCGGGCATCTGGGACTGCAGGAAGGGATAATACAGCCAACAAATAGGTTAAAATTTAGGGAAATGGCAGAGGCCTAATCTTTGGAAAATGTAGCTTCTCAGTGATCAAAGGATGTTATACAAATCTTTAAAAAAAAGGGACCAAACGCCAGCAGAATTAACAATTTAAATGGAAATGAAACATCTTTTCCCCCATCCAGAGTCCGGTTTGGGCTTTTTGGGGTGTCACAGTTGAGACGTCTCACTCACCCTGCACACAGCGCAGGTGAACACTAGCGCTGCCATGGCTGCCGTCTTTTGATCGTGACCCTTGGCCTTTTTCATCTCCGCCTGTTTCTTGGCATTTTTCTGCTGAGACTGCAGCTTTTGATGCCCGCGAGCCATTCTGGCAAAGCCTAAAGGGGACAAAGGACGGACAGTTGACTTCATGTTTACTGATACACATCATTTATTGTTGTTGGTTGGTACACATCTACCACTACAAGTCAGTTAGTAAAAGACTATTAATAGTTATTTTAGTGCACAGTGCCCAAAGAGAAGGATGTCATAACACCATGTTTCCTGTGCTCGCACCACCAGACTCTCAAACAGCTTCGTCCACCAGGCTGTTGGGAAGCTGAACTCTCTGAACTCTCTCCCTCCTCTCTTTTAAGACTCCCCATGTCCAACTGCTGCTAAATACAGATTGATAGTTTTTTTGTTATTTTTCTCTTATTATATATATATATATTGTCTAAATGTTTCTTTAATCTATTGCACTGTATTCACTTTATATGTTTATATGTTGGACTAGAGAGAAACATCTTTTCAACTCCCCTGTATGTCCAGTACATTGTGGAATTGACAATAAAGCAAACTTTGAACTTTGATAGAAAAAAGGTAAAGTATGGGTGAGAGTCATCAAAAATCGTGGTCTGTGAGACAGGCAACTCTCTCATTATTGTCCATATCATTTGACTTTTGCAGGGCTAATCCAAAGCCTTTCTTACAAGCAGCTACTGTAAAAAGCAAGCAAAAAGGTCAGGCAAAGTGAACAAGATAAAGCTTCAGTGAACTGAAATGCAGGTGCTTCAGATAAAACACAGACGGGGCTATAAAACCTTGACTGGCATAAGGGTAGGAGTAACGGATTTCATTAAACAACGTGGGAACTGCTTAGCTTACAGTGGTAAAAACCAGGAAGCAAGTTTACAACGTTATTTGGATAACTCCGTTTTATAAACCTGGTTCCAGGTTTTAATCAGCAAAGACAACATATGTTTCTTAAAGCAGGACGAGGTTTAGCAGATTGATCTCCAGATTTACTGCAATATCGAGAGACTGCATCCAGTGAAGGAAACAAGTTCTCCCGTATCCTCACTGACATTGAAATATTTGGATTTGTTTTACCATTTCCTCCGCTCCAGCACAAGACCGATCCCTGATGTTAGTTCATGTGAATGAAGGTAAATGCATGTGTGCAGGGCCCCTGTCTCAGTCCACAACTACCATGATGTCCCCTATGAACACAAGCTTACTATTAGTGGAGCTAGAACACACTTCAAAAAGGGACCAAATTACCCAATATAAGGCATTAAAGCAGCACACACCTTATGGCCCTTACCAGTACATTCACTTTAGTGGCGCATACTCCCAAATGATTAAACTCTGATTGGGGTTATCAAGGCCCCTGAAGGTCTAGGGACATGGGGTGTTTGCCCACTTGGTTCAGTTGGTAATCGACCCTTGCCTACTAGCAAAGCCTATAAATAGTACGCTGTTAGTCAGCTATGTATTCAGTGGTAACTAGCGTTGTTTAGCTTGTGAAGAATCTGGCACGCCTGCTAAGCAATCAGCATGTATATTCTGACAACACCATAGGTTAGCTAGCTTAAAACTGTTTTCATTGGTGCTTAGAGCTTGAGGAATATAATGCAATTACTAATATCGGTGATATAACTCCTCAGATACAGAAAACAATATGAGGACACAAACTGAATTAGCAAACTGTTAAGCTAACGTTTGTATCTGAGAGTTACTATTCTCTGCAGCTCTTAAGTTTACTATTCGGACAAAGTCCTCCTGTTAGGCTCATTGAGAAAAAAAAACAGATGTTACCACAACACATCTGTCTCACTGTGATCGAGGTGACACAGTTAGTATTAATTGTATTAATCGAGCTGTAACGTGGGTTAGCCTACATGTTAGCCTACATGTTAGCCTACTTGTTAGCCTACGTGCTAGTCTACGTGCTACATGCTAGTCTACCTGCTAGCCTCAGCTATAGCGTTAGCTAGCCGGCTAACCTTAAACTGAATATTTCCTTCGGCTTGTGGTTGACGTTAACCAGGAAAAGTACGAGCGGGATGCAAAAGCTTATAAAAGTTTAAAAGGACAGCAATTCTTACCTCTTAAAAATAACAATACGTGTCGTTTTCTAGGGGCACACACAGAAGTGTGACAGCTGCTCGGTTCCCAGACAGCTGAAGGCTACTGTTGCATTCAAAGACACTCGTAATGTACGGTTTCATGGGTACTGCGTTAAAAGCCAGTTTACATGGCAGCAGTATGCCAAAACTGCGATGTTAAGGATAATAGGATAATGCAAATTATCCATCAGTATTATAGCTGTGATTGTTCGCGAAATAGGTAAAGTAATCTAGGTTTTCATTGTCAGACATGGTGCTTTTGCCTGCTGTAGGGAATAAATTAAGCAACCAATGGAATTAACCACGGAAGTTCCCTAGGGATACATTATTTCTACGATTATATGACGACTCCGCGAACGCCCCGATAGGGCTGGCTGACTGTAGGTAGTGTAGAGACGCCGGAAATGTCGCCCCCATGTGGCAGAGTTTGGTTGGTACATTTACACATAAACTGAAATTTGGAGAGGAAAGTAAATGAGGTTTTATTAAATGCTTCATGATGATCCCAAGTTGGGATTTACAGTTTATCCACCGCTTAAATCAGAATACCTTTGTCCTCATTATTGCATGGCCATATGCATTACAGTGAAAAGTACAATATTTACTTGTAAAAAGTAAAATATTTACAGAGGTAAAAAATATTTACCTCTGAGGTAAAATGTATCTCCGCCTGTCACGCGGAAGACCGGGGTTCGATTCCCCGACGGGGAGTACAACTTATTTTATTTTTAATACGTTTTTTAATGTATTTTCATGTTTTTGAAGAGAGTAAAGAAAATAATCATAAATCTGTTAAGCCAGTGGTGGAGACTGATAGGAGTTACAGACCTGCTTTAGCTGATTGTAGCTCGTTTCCAAGCTTCATCCCCGAAACAATGCCTCAACTCCGCCGACATGCTCAAACGCTCTGCGTGTTTGGAAGCACATACCTGTCTGAGCAGCTTTTCTCTGTGATGAAGATAAACAAAAACCCACACAGGAGTCGTCTCACAGATGCACACCTTCACTCCATCTTGAGGGTTTCCACAGCACAGAACCTAACGCCAGATATTAATGAACTGGCAGCCAAGAAAAGATGCCAAACATCTGGCTCTGGTACATATGCATAAAATAATGTAGCCTATTTCTTTTTGCACTTTATCCAATATCCCTTCTATCATGTTTATTAAATGTTCACCCTGTTTGGCCCTCAACGTAGTCCTAATGTTTCATTGTTTGTTTGGAATTAGGAGATGGCACACCTATTTCCAACCTAATTCTTTGTTGAGTAAGTATGCAATTAAAAGGACATTTGGGAAAGAGATTATGTGCAAAAATAACACCTTTTTTCATTTGATTGTTTTTCTTTTTGTTTGTTTTATGTAGAAAATAGTTGTCTATCTGTTGTACAGATCTGTATAATTTGTTCAGTGTTGGATCTCTACACTGGAAAGCATTTTGTAACTTTGTCTGTTAGATTATTTACTATCTGTTGAACCTTCTGCACCACATTCTGTGTTACTGTTGGTTTTACTACTAAGCTAAACACCTCCGATCTATCGGTATAATAATGTGTACTATGCAGTATGCACTGACCCCAAACTCTTTGCATCAATTTTCGAGACAAGTGATTAAAAACTGCTGTTACCCCAGAGAAACACAAGGGGGCAGGTACGTATGATGACAACTGTATAAAGGAGTTGTATCCGTTGCTGTGCCTCCAGCATCCACAACATATACACACTGGCTTTAACACTAATACTGACATAGTATAGTAATGGTTGTAATGCTTAAATAGCTGAATTATCAGTACAACAATCTCAAACAAATCAAATATGTACTGCAGGCATTGCCCAGTAAAATCAGTCTTGACAGCATTCATTCGTGTATATTTTTAATAACAGATGCAGCACAACTTGTACAGACCATGATGTGATGATCAGATAGTTTATCTTACCTGTGTTTTTGGTTGTGGGAACAGTGGAGCTGTTCACCTCCACTCTGTATTTGACTGTATGCAGCTAATATGGAAATTGACTGCAACTCCAGTTTTCACATGATGGAAACAAAGACTTACATGCAACCCAAATAACATCAACATATAAATCAGTCTGAAAAGAAAACAGAATGTAGTTGCATTCATGTATTTTTCTTTATTAAAAATAAGTCAAAGTGTGTTTCTTTTTATTCACCAACAAGTAATTTTATTACTCATTCCTGGTGGAAATCTTCCAGACAGTTAGGTGTCATGACTTTCCTGAAGAAATTTTATCATTGTGAGAAAAGTTTGCAGCCTGCCATTGTACCCCCTCCTCCTTCCTGCTTTTTTCCCTTCATCATAAGAGAAGAGAGACAATCCTTTCAGTCTTTTGTGAAGAGGGGTGGGGGATATCTCTCACGAGAAAAGGATGTGATTATGCTTTCAGAAGGAGGCCAAAAAAGTAAAAAGAAAGAAGGGAGGGGGGCTAATTTTTTCCCTCCCTTCCCCACCCTGATGCTGTTGTGCAGGGACTTGCTAGCTTAGGTTTGGGGTGAGGTTGTCCAGCCTTAGGGCCTGTGTGAAAGCAAATCTTCCAGGTGTCAGCTTCTCAATAGCGGAGGAGAATTTCATATGGCTCTCCATTGTGTGTATGAATAAGCAGGGGTTTGCCGCAGACAGCCTGAGACCCCCCCCCCCCCCCCCCCCCCCCCCCCGCCCCCCCCCCCCCCCCC